CCATATTTTTAGCTATATCGTAAACTTTTGTCAATGTTTGGTGACGAGACATAGGTCCACCCCATTCAGCGTTCATATTATTTCTTCTTATTCGAATTTATTATTATTTTGTCACTTTTTTACTTTATAAAAAAAACAACAAAATTCTAATTTTATTTTATGTCTAATAAATTGTATTTTAAAAAATATAGAACAAATTTTATATCATTTTTGACATTTTAATTTTGTATTATCTAAGCATATAAATTTATAAAAATATCTAAAAGATTATAACTTTATTACACAAAATTGGAAGTATATAAACTTTTTTTTATAGATACTTTAAAAGTTCAAATACTCATGACCTTTACACCGAGTATTTGGCCATCGTGGCAATGCCACCGGCGATTGTAGGACTATTTTATACTCGCCTTTTAATGGATGAGAATTGCTAACATGCATGATTTATGTCCATGATATTATTAAGAGTGATTTTTGAACTTTTAAAACTATTTTTATATCATCGAGCTCATTATATGTTTGAAGGTGATTTTAAAACGATAGAAATTATTTTTTTAATTTAAGAAATAGTAGTATTTTACTACACTATACTCGTGATTTCAAAAAATGTCAAAATATCTCATAATTAAATATGCTCTATTACATTACATTTATTTTTATGATGGATTGATTATGTTTAAACAAATAAAAATTAGTTTTTTTTAAATGAAAATGAAAAACTATTAGTTGATTATTACTTAGGAAGAGAAAAAACTTTGCTCTTCAAGATTCACATTGCCTCGCTTCTAAACATCCAAATTGGTCCCATAAACCTCAATGTCTCATATTTCCTATTTTTTTCTTCCATTTTTTCTCTTTCCCCATATCGTCTTACTTCTTCATTTTTCTATCTTCTGCAACGTCTCATCATTTTTTATCTTAATTTTTTTGAAGTTTTTTATTTCCATTTCACTAAATCATGAGTACTTTTCTTATTATACACGTAACAATAAATAAAACAAAAAAGACTCGCAGTTATTGTAAAATGGTAGAAAATAGCTTTGATTAAAATATATTGTCCTAAAATTTTGAAAACAATATATATAGAATAGAGACAATAAATATATTTTTTAATTATTAATAAATCGAAACGAGAGGTTTACATTACAAATGAATTAATGATGCAGGCTGGATGGCATTTTGGGAAAAAGTGGTAAAAGAGCGAGGGCAATGTCGTAATTGGTGGGATTTGTAGTTGTTTGAACCAAACTATGTGCTAGGAGACGGCCACCCACTGATTCAAAGTCCAAAAAGGCAGTTAAAGCAGGTGATCTAAACCAACTTTTTTGTGTGTGTTTATATAATCCATTAACTTAGTTTTAAATTAACTCTATATTGTTCTTTATATTATTGACTTTATTCATTTTAACTTAAACTTTGAACAATTTTAAATGTAACAGTTTGAACCGGCAAAGTTTAAAACGTTGATGCAAGTACAAATAGGCATTCATTATTTAGAATACCATATTCTTAAGGATGTATAAACTATGGAACAACATCAAGAATCAACAAGTGAAAATTATAATAAATGGGAAGGAAATGACTATGCACCACCACTCAACCCAAAAGATGAGTTAGGTAAATTTAATTTATTTATATGGATTCTAACACATATGATAATACTAAGTCCGACATAAGACCTCAATTCTAGGAGACATCATATTTTTCATATAACATATAATGTACTAGGTTTTTAATACGTGTTATGCACATAATATTTACAATTTATTCAATCCTACATTAAAATTAACGATAAGTATATCAATTTACATTAAATAATTTAAATTTTTATAAATATTATATGAAAATATGAAGTCTCCTAGAATTGGTAAATAATTATTTATAAAAAGTACATTTGAATAGGTGGAAGGAAAAAATATTTATTTTTTTTAGGAAAAAGAAAATATATTTATTCAAAATTTATTCTTTCTTAATAAATTAATATTCATATAAATATAACATTGACATGAATGTATATTGTAAAATTATAATAAAATGTAAAGTCTTAAATTTTATAACCAATTTTTAGGAATAAATTACGAAAACCTTTTACATCCCAACTTCAATTTTATGAATGCATTTAAACCTCTTTAAAATAATAATAATAATAAATAATGCATTTTAACAACATCAATCATGACTTATTATCAAAATTAATTTATGTATTTAGAATTTGTTGCTGTTTTTACATTTATACCTCATCGTCAAAATCATCTAAATTATTATTGTTATATTTTTTCTATTTTCTTATTAACTTTCTTAAAATGTAACCTTTGAATTGTGGTGGAAATAAGTAAAAATGACGAATTTGTAACGAAAAAGAGTGAAAGAATTATAAACTTTTGACGTTACAAAACGTTCATATATTTAAGAACAAATTCATTTATATATCAAGAAAAAATATTTTACATCCTAATTTTTACATTTATTTATTTATTTTCTATGTGCATTATTTCATACCACATTTTTAAGAATTTTAAATTACATTTCATTCTTTTTAATAAAAATTAAAAAATATATATAATTATTTCGTATTCTTGTTTTCAACCTGTTATTTTACCTAATTTGAACGGATTATTTCTTTAATTACTTGTTTGTTTATTTAAAAATTATAAAGAAAAGAATCAAGCTGAATTTTTGTTATATATTTAACTCTTTTTTTTCGGAAAGCAACGGGGCAAATGCCCAAAAAACTACAGAACAGCTTGAGATAAAATAATTTTACTGATTTAATTTTATATTATAATTAAAATTATTAAAGAAAAATTCTTTAAAGTATATTTTTGGAAAAAAAATGAAAAAAAATTGTACTTTTAGATTTCATACAGATTATTATTGATAATTAATTAATTAATTAAAAACTTTTTGAGGTATTAATTTACATGGTTTTTTTCCAAATAAAAAGAACACAAGCTTATATTGGATGAATACATTACTATTTCTTTAACCAAACATTCTAAATAAAAAAAAAACACTAATTTTAAATTTTCCTATTTGCCAAAACGAATATAGCTCAGCGGTAATTGGTATAAATCTCCAACCAAGAGATTATGAGTTCGATTCTCCGCCCCAACATTGTGAACTCAATGTTTGTTGTTGCTTCGCTCTACTTGTTATATGTTTTAAGTTCTAATATTGCGAAAAATCCAACTGATTGTTTACCCTAATGGTTATGAGAAAAGGGATCATAGGATAGGTCGGCAATATTCTTCAAATTTCATAAATGGAGAAGTCTTTGTTTGGTCCTTATTACATGGCCGGGATGGGAAGATCAACACTCGTCCAAATTCAAAGGAAAAATTCCAATTT